GTGATAGCTTTTTTTTCTTAAAAAATAGAAAACAAAAAAAAATCCCAAAATGAGTATTGTTTAGAACGAAAATCCATTGTAGAAGGGTAGGCGAAAAAGAGATGTGGAAGCCGTGAAATAAGACAGGCATTACTTTCTACTCTTCTTCTTATTAACTTCATTGTATATTTCTAGGTAAACTGACATCCGATTGTTCAAAGAAGACTTTAAATGTTTGCTCTGATGTGTGGCCCGACTACATGAATTTAAACGTGCTACTATCTTTCCTAGCGTCCCTGCTTTGCTTGCAGTGAAATGATTAAAAAAAAATAAAACGAGTAGTGGAATCTTTTGAAAATGGACAAAATTTGACATCGTACTCTTATCAATTGCCTGCAGAAAAAAAAGTCGTTAGCCCCCCCAACATTTATGCTAACAAATATCCTGATCAGAGTCCTTGCTGTTGATTGTAGTTTAACGCCTTAACCAAGACGCGGATGTAGTTTATCGTAATACCCAGGACGGTTAAAAATCGAAATGGTTTCTTTAGGATTTAAAGGACACTCACTGTCCTCTAAATACAGTAATATCAAAATTTATGAAATGGTACTTCCATAAAAGGTGGTACTGTGTGAATCTAAGAAGATGGGTTGAAAAGTTCACAGGCTCACTATGAAGGAGTGATACTTGAGCTGTGAAATCTTGCATGCATTCATTTCAACTCCTTCTTGTTAATAAATGCATTGTTTCCTTCCAAGTAAACAGAAACTGTTCAAACAAGACATCAAAAGTAACTAGCAGCCAAAAGTAAACAAAATTTGGCATCGTGGTGTTATCAAGTACCTGCAGAAAAAAGGTTTAGCCCCCAAGAACATTTATCTTAACATGGTTGCTACATTAGGGGTTGATACTCCAGCTTTATCAAAAGTGCAAAAGTGGGCCGCTAAATTTAGGATGGGAATGAGAATCTTGAAGATGACCCAAGGTGTGGACGTCCTGCGACTGTCACCATCGTAGAAAACATTGATCGTGTTCACCACATGGGGATTAATGACAGACGATTGGTAGTAAATCAAATTTCTCAATGTTATTAGCATATCCCTTGAGAACGTTGAGAATATTCTGCACAATGAATATGGCATGACGAAGGCTTTTGATCGGTGGGTGACACGTCTTCTGATGAGTGTTGGATTCAGCACTGGCCCAGACACAAGTGGTACCACACCTCTTCACCTCTTCCAAAGAAGGCAAAGGTTGTTTTATCTGCAGTAAAGGTGCTAGACTCAATTTTGGTGGGGGCAGAAAGCATTGGGTATATTGGATACCTTCAAAATCTTCTTCGTCAGATCTGTCAAGTTTAAGTTGTCAGATCTCTGTCTATATCTCTGAGATGAGGTATTATGTTTACTTGCATTATTCACATTATTCCGACTGTTATCCTCATCTTCATTGCCATATTCACAACGTTTCTGCAAAGACACATGGCCCAGTACATAAAGACGCAGTGACTAAGCCCAAAGAGTTGTGCGTTCAATACCAGGTCACAGCAAAAGTGAAAAAAAAATTGAGAGTTGAATTAAAAGGAAATAACTGAGACATCCGGAAGAGGCATGGCACGTGGTACTCGAACGGTCTCTCCCCGTGGAAGAAATTCCAATCTAAGGCCGGGGAGTACAACAGCTGAAACTTTGTGAATATGCCAAAGAGGATGAGGTTAACAGTCCAAATAATGTAAATAATGTAAATTCTCAGATATGTCGTATTTTCTACTGAGACAATGAAACCGTTCAGAAGAGTTGCAGGAGATTCCGAAGTCGACTGGAGGCCGTGGTCGAAGCCAATGGCGATTTTATTGAATACATTTACTCTTTAGTATTTCAACATATTTTTGCGTAATTTTGTTAAATATATTCTGTTGAAATGAGATGTCAGTGTTAGTTTCATTTCTGCGTCAGTTGGACGACAATTTATCCATCGCACCCTTTATATGCCAAGTAGCGATCATCGCTCTCCACAACATTTTTTCTCCTTTGTAATTTCATGTCAATGGAAAACCTGAGATCAATGTGTAGTGTGTTCCTCTCCTGGAGATTAGATTTGATGACAGTCAAAAAAAAAAAAGTTCTCTCTGGTGATTAAATGAAAGCAGCTTCGTTTTTGTGGCGTTAAAATTTACCAGCCATTTCTTGCTCACAGTTCCCGACTGGCTGCAGGTCCTTTTCAAGAATAGTTGCCAGGTTTATTTTGTCAGATCTGTCGGGGTTGCCTGAAACACCCGAAAAGGGAATATGCCGAGAGAGCTTAGCCAATTTTTCCACGGCATTATCGTTAAATCCGTTTAAAATTACCATGTGTCGAATTCGGTTGCGACGTGGTCCCCATTGTAAAATACCCCTTTTATTCGAGTATATATATATATATATATATATATATATATATATATATATATATATATAATCATTTCACAACATGCAAGGCGGGGAGCCACTAGCATGCAAGGGGTTACAGAGGATTTGGAACGAGAGCAGATAGAAGGGACAGAGGAAAAGATGAGGAGAAGGACAGTGGATAGATCAAGGCAACTGGAGATGTCGATTGACATTACATTTGAATAGTTGGAGATTATAGCTATCAGGGAAACAGGCGAGAGGTGCGAGATATGAAGCTATTGGGGTAGAAGAGACGGCTACATTTAACAGTTTCAACAGTGAAAGGGCGAGAGCGGGATGCCAGCCTCGTAGGACGCTTGAACTCATGGAGTCTGGGAACCAGAGAAAGCAGCTCATCGGAGCAATTACCATGAAAGTATTTGTAAAAAAGACACAGAGAGGCGACGGCACGTCTGTGAGAGAGAGACTGTAGACGATATACCAGATCAGGGCCAATTGCATTGCATATCTGTCTCTGGATCTTATCAAGAACCCCTAGAGAAACAGAAGGGGCTCCATACCATATATGGCAGCAATAACGGATGAAGGTGTTTAAATATGTGGAGGTGAAGTAGACAATGTTAATATTTTTGTTTTGAATCATCTGAGGAAATATTCTACAAATTAAAAAAGAATACAATTCGTCCTTGTATTGAATACTTTTGCCATATATGGTCTGGTGCTCCCATTGTTCATCTCCATGTTTTCGATAAAATTCAATGACCGGTATGCAATGTGATAGCTCCTGATCTGGCATCTCGTCTACAGTCACTTTCTCACAAATGTCATGTAGCTTCCCTCTGTATTTTCTACAAATATTTTCATGGTATCTGCTCTGACGAACTACTTTGACTGGTACCCCAACTGCATTAATTTAAACGTGCTACTAGGTTGGCATCTCGGTCCCACACTTTCACTGTCGAAACATTTAAATATAACCGCCTCTTCTACTACAACATATTTTCTCTTACACTTTCCGACAGTGGAACTCCCTTCCTCTTACTTGCTTCCCTGATAACTATAATCTTCAAAAATTTAAATGTAATGTCCATCGACATCTTCTTCTTTTTATCCTTTCCTCAAACACCCCCCTCTTTACTCTTACTTTCACTCTCTGTAATCTCTTGCATGCTACTAGCACCCCCGCCTTGCTTAGGGTGAATTGCTTAAAAAAAATTACATTAAATCTGAATCAATGAAACATTTTTTAAAATCTTTTAGAATTTAAGACGCAAAAAGCAATCATTTTTTTCTTCTATAGATAAATAGAATTTGTTCTATACAACAAAACATTTAATGCTATTCCGCCTACATCAATCAAAAACCAAACATTTAGATTAATAGAAAAAAATGGAATGCAAAAACAGCAGGCAGGAATTTTTTTTTTTTTTATAAAAGCAAAACAAAAAGATTCAATAAAGCAAGCACTGGAGCGGTAGACGGTGTTTGAATTTAATTTAAATCGCAGTATGTGGTTCATCGTCTATCATCTCCGGGACCTGCAGTCATGTCTCATTGAGATATCGGTTCCCGTACTATCACCGGAGTTAAGCAACATCGAATATAGACATTAACTAGATGGGTGACGGCTTGGGACGACAATGTGCTGCAAGATTGGGTGTGCTGGGGTCGAAAAGTATTAAGACTCAGAAATGGAGGGGGAGTTGAGTTTTAATTCCAGTCGTGTACGTTATATTCATTTAGGCGCAAATAAACACGGGAAATGTAAAAATCCCCGTCCTGTGAGTTAATGAGAAAAACTTCTATCAGTAAATCATAATTACCTCCCCTAAATTCTTACAATGAATTTTTTTCTGGTTTTATATTACGGGCAATGAGTTGATAAGCCATAAAAAAACAATCGATCAAGCCGCCATCTGCACATGAAGCAGACTGTAGACGAACATAAGACCAAAAAAAAGCTCGGATTTTAACAATAGTTATTGCATCTTTTAAAGAAATTAACCGGAAATAATCAAAAACGCCTCTTTATTAAGATGTTGCGCTTATAGCCAACAAAGGCGTTTTACATTTATATAAGTAGTGAACTAATCGTTCTAAGTAACCCAGTTAATCGAAATAAGTACTGCTTTATTTGTTGCATTTTTACACTCCATATTAATGGCAGTGATATTCAGAGAATTCGCTTATGGCCATATCACGTTGAAAGACCAGTTCTTGTGCAATCACCGTTTAAGCAAAATTGAGTCTGGTCAGTACTTAAAAGGGTGACCACTTGACAATTTAGATTGACAGTTTAGATGTGCGGGTTGCATAATGGTTAGCAGCTAGAAATTTGAAATCGGAGAGCCAAGTTCCAATTTCAGTTGGGTTCCTTATATTCATTTACGTGCAAATACCCTTGGGAAAGGTATGAATCCATCTCTTCTCCCCCAGTTATGGGTTAATTAGTATCAGTTGTATGAGTAAGTCATTATTATCTCCAATAAAACTTAAAAAAATATTTTCTGGCTTTCAATAATGTGTACATGTTTGATAAAACCTAAAAGAATAAATCCTTCAATATGCAGATAACTTAAAACGATTACCTGCTATCTCTTCCGCCTCACCTGATATCCTCTTCCGCCTCACATGCTATCCTCTTCCGTCTCACCTAGTGTCCTCTTCCGCTTCGTCTGCTATCCTCTTCCACCTCACATGATATCCTCTTCCGCTTCACCTGCTATCCCCTTCCACCATATCTGCTATCCTCTTCCGCCTCACCTGCTATCCTCCTCCGCTTCACATGCTATCCTCCTCCGCCTCACCTGCTATCCCCTTCCGCCTCATCTGCTATCCTCTTCTGCTGCACCGTTTGGAAAACACTGCATTAAAGGATAGCCATCAGTGAGACATCAGGCTAGACAAAATACAACAGAATTAGACTGACAAAAACATTTAAACAAGACGTGGATTTACAAAGTTTATCTTAGTCTCTAAACTATAATGAAGGCTTCTACTAACGAACTCCCTTCAATTTTTCTTCTGGACATTTGCGATCATGACTCTCCACAATTTCCTATCCTTCAGAGCTCTTAGTTTATATTGTCTTTTCGTCATCTTTCTCAAAGTCTGTCCGGCCACACAATTACACAAGCTTGTTATGTCAGTTATGCGTTGATTTTCTCAGTCTTTCTTGCCTTCAGTAGGTCCTGTGAGTGTAAAATTTTCCAAGCCATCTTTCCTCTTGATGTGCCCTAAAATTTTCAATATGTTTCTGATGTTAAGTAGAAGTGTCCTTCGTGCTTTCATTTTCTCTAAATCTTTGATGTTCTTCGCATGTTCGGTTCATGGGATTCTCAGCATGCCACTAAAACGCAAGAAGCTACTGGGTGTGAAAGTGAATGAGAAAAAACTTTAGAAAGATCAGGAAACCCAATCCTAAACAGGATGAAACCTATCTACTCCTACTGAGAAAAATAGAAATTAAATTCAGATTTTAGGCGGAAATGTTAGAAGTAGACATTTAAAGAAGAATTTAGAAGGAACTGGAAATCAAGTCCTGAACCGGAAACAAAGGATAATCTCTACTCGGGTTCAAAGGACTGGGGAAAACTGGGATCCGGATGATAGGCGTTTGTTTTCTGTGTTGGGGAAAACTGCTGTAAATTCGAACTACTAATCATATATGGTATTTAAGAATAGATTTGGAGTAGGTTAACATAATTTAGTTTATATATTAAGAAATGGACAAAGTCCGACAATTTATTTATTAAAGACATTTTTATGTTTAACGTTCTTTTTTATAGATACAAGTATTTAAGTAAATGCTCTGTTTATAATAAACAGTATTAAATAACATTTACCGGCCTGAATGTCCGAGAAATTTTCATAGAAAATATTCGTTCTTTGACAGGATTCGAACCTGCATCCTATACGGAACCGTCATTTACGCTGACGTGCCTTACCAATCGGCCACAAAGGAGCGTTCGGTAGGCAAGGTCGAATTTACTGCTTATAAACTTCATAATTTAGTTTCCTCAAGGTAGTGTCAGCGTAGACAGCGGATTAAAGAAAAAAATTCCTCAATCATAAGGACGAATAGAAAAAGAATATCAGGAAAATCTTTGGAACTCGTTTTGTCTGTTCCATCCCATCCGACATATTCATCTGACTTTGCACGATCCAATTGTATCCTTTTTGGATCGCTCAAATCGTTTTTAAACTTTCTTTTATGAAAACCACTTTCAGAACATCATCGAAGAGTTTTTTTCAAATGAATGTTACTCAAAATGTCGCGAAGATCTGCCTCACAAGTGGCACCAAGTCATTGCTATGAATGGCGAATTGAATTAAAATGAGATAATTACATTTTTTTACACAAAACGAAATTATTCATCACACAATCTGATACATTATATTGATGGTTGTACCCTTCAAAACGGTTTAATGGTTAGCAAGCTTGTCTTGCTAGATCATTTACGATTGAAAAGTGAGGTCTGTCCTCACTGGGTACCCCATACTTTCGATTTTATGGCACATCTAAGATACGGTTAGAATATCATTTTACTGCTCTTTGGTACACTATAATAGTTAACAAGATTATCTCGCTGGATCAATTACGACTGAATAGTGAGTTCGATCCTCACTGAGTACCCCGTACTTTCGGCCTTGTGCCAGATCAAAACTGTGCTTAGAAAATCGCCATCGTATTGGCTGTTTAGTTCAGATATCTTCCTCGAGGCGGCGAAATGGTTAGCAAGCTTATCATGCTAGGACAATTACGACTGAATAGTGAGCGATCCTAACTGGGCACCCCATACTTTCGGCCTTGTACCACATTTTTAAGATACGCTTGGAAATTAATAGAAGGGGAACTTCTATCCTCACTGGGTACTTTACACATTCGCTCTTATACCACATCAAAGCTTCGTTTTGGGCAGGTCAACGTGGTTTTACGGTTAACAATCTTATCTGGCTGGATCAGTTACGACTGAATAGTGAGTTCGAGGCTCACTGACTGGTCTTATGCCACAGCTACTCTTAATAAATCACTATAAGACAGAAAGAAACCATAAATTATTTTTTACGTTTATTCGTTATAAAATGTTCTTCCAAACGGTTCGGTTCATTCTAGCCATCTTGTCATGTT